GATGGTGCTGAGACTAGACTGTTCATTGACCCAGAATCACCGCAATTCAACTCCGATGATGATGAAGTTCCAGGAAATGTGGCACAAGTACACATGTATGAAGTTGATTATGGTGCACTGTAAGGGCCAAAATTTACAGATATGCCTCATCTCGGTGACTATGGGTATTACTCATCAATAAATAATGGTGAGTTATCTTTAGGCATGGAGTTTTCAAGCAAAGAAGAAGCGATGATGGCTATCAAAAATTACAATATTCGTAATTCTGTTCAGTCTAGAGTAGACCGCTCCACGACCAAAAAATATGTATGCTACTGTGCCCAGCGCGAAAACGGATGCAATTGGATGGTTCGCGTATCGAAGAGGAAAAGGAAAAACAACAGATGGGAACTAACAGTATACAACGGTCCTCACACATTTTGTGCTGGATGGGTCAACCAAGATCATCCCAACTTGGACTCTGAAGTGATATGCCAAGCCATCATGCCCATGGTCAAAACAAGCTCTCATATAGCTGTTGCAGTGTTGATTTCAGCTATACAATCACAGTATGGGTACACTGTCTCCTATAAAAAAGCTTGGTTGGCAAAACAAAATGCCATTGTCAAACTTCATGGCGAATGAGATGCATCTTACAACGAACTTCCAGGTTGGTTTAGGCTGGTGCGAACATTGAATCCTGGGACAATTGTGGACTTCGAAACCTCTTATGCATACCATAATGATCGAGTTCTTCGTGATCGATGCCAATTCTACCGGGTTTTTTGGAGTTACCCACAGTGCGTTAATGCTGTCAAATTCTGCAAGCCTGTGGTCCAGATCGACGGGACTTTCTTGTATGGAAAATACAAGAAAGTTTTATTATTGGCAGTTGTCCAAGATGGCAATCGCAACATTCTTCCAGTTGCTTTTGCTCTTGTCGAAGGAGAATATACAGCTTCTTGGGCTTTTTTCCTCCGAAATTTACGTGCACATGTTATCACGAGGGAAAACATCTGTAGCGGCTTTGGTAAAGACTACATATTTTTGTTTGGGGGTGCTTTTTGCGACCAACTTGGAAGTGGCAATCAATTCAACCTTAAAGGGTGCACGTCACTTACCTGTAGCGGCTTTGGTAAAGACTATATATTTTCGTTTGGGGGTATTTTTTACGAAACTCGGGGGATAAGCTCAAACCTGGATGCAAGGCGGTCATGTCTATCACCCTAGATTAGTTGCAGATCTACAGAAAAAAATTACTGCATCAAATGGAATGTCTGTAACAAGCTTCTCTAGAAGGCATGAAATGTTTCGTGTCACAGAGTTACCGCGACCTCTTCAAGGGATTGAAGCTGTGTCGTTAAGAGTAAATCTAAGGGATAGAACGTGCGACTGCGGGTTTTTTCAAGCTCTGAAGTATCCATGCTCTCATATGATAGCAGCTTGCTCGCATACACGTCAAGACTATAACCATTTTGTGGATCCCGTATACCTACTATCTGAAGTTTTTAAGGTATACGAATTTGAGTTTCCCCCCATAGGTAATGATAAAGACCCTGATGAGGTTCAAGATTGGCTTCCGATTGTACCAAATCCGAGTTTATTGAGGGAGCGTCGTCGTCCAAAATCCAATCGAATTTATTGCGATATGGATATTAGAGAAAGATCTAGACAAGACAGAAGATGTGGGCATTGTAGAAACCCAGGACACACTAGAAAAACATGTCCACTTCTATTGTCATCAAGTAACAATTGATGAGGAAATGATGTATTTTATTATCAAATAATAATTCTTCTACTTTAATTTGCATTTACTTCAAGTTAATGTCATTTGATAATCACCGATGAAGATTAAAAAAACAAACACAATCATTAAATTTTAATAAACTAATAACAATAAGTATTAAATGGTAAATGATAATCAAATTACAATAACTGATATTAAATGGTAATAAAAAAAACGAACTGAAATAAATTAAAAAACAAAATAAAGTAAGTATGAAATGAGAAATAATAAAAAAATTACAATTTAACAAAATAAAGTAAATACAAATATAATAAAAAACAAAATCTATCGATGCCTGCGACGCGAATGTGTTCCGCAGGGCGGTGGCTGTCGGTCTCGAGGAGGATTTCTTCGTATCACTGGTTCTGACTACTCGCTGTCATCATCATCACCGTCATCGTCGTCGTCGTCGTCTTGCGCATGTACATGAGGAGTTGATGACGATGAAGCACCTCCGTAGAATAAGGACCCTGGAGGTGTATGACTGACTATCTCACCGGCCTGCGAAAACTGGGAAAAGTCATAAAACCCAGACATCGCTGAGTGTGAAAATTGTACAGGAGGCGGTGTCTGTGCTGCGACCATGGGTGATGAGGCTGAACCCGCCAAATATCCATTATATGAACCCCAAGTCGGGTCTACAAACATAGACCCATAATAGCCTCCAGGAGGGGTCATCTGTGACGGTGGCGGGGTTATAAAACCGGGTGAAGGCGGCGGCGGCATCTGGTAATGGAAAGGCGATGGCGACATCATATATGATTGTGGTGGCTGCTGGGAAGGTCCTGCTGGTGCAGCTGAGGATGAACCGGAAGCACCTGCTCTCCGTCCACGAGTCGGGGGACGATGGTGCTGTGTCGGTGAACGTCTCTGTCGACGTCGTGGAAAGGTCTGCCCTCGTGCATCCTCGGGAAGTAGAAACGGTTTCCCGTTACTGTTGAACCACTCATAATAATCCTCAGCATACATCAAGAAGTTAGTAAAAATGGGCTCTCTACGTGGAAGGAGCTGATGTCGATCCTCCCACAACACGACCCACTCATGATGCCTCACCAGCTAATCTGTATATGTCTTGCCGCGTCTATCTAAGCTATGCAACTCATCCATATTACGAGGTGCTTCCGGAATTGGTTAAAAACAACCAAACTGCCGGAGCACGCGATCAGTAGAGTGCCACTCGACGGTCGCATAACATATCAGAGGGACCATCGCCATCCAAACATCTAATGGACCCCTCAACTCAGGTGGGATCACCGCCCTCACATCATCAGTAGAATATGGCACCTATTCAAACTAAAAACAAATAATATATAATTTTTATCAAAATAATAATCTAATTATATAACTATAATCTAAAATCGATTTTTAAACATTAAAATTCATACATGTGTGCCAGCCTTCTGATCGATTAGAACCCTAATCTTTTCTAAATCATCAGGTAGCTCCTGATGATTTTTCCTATCAGTAGACCACCTATTCAAGGAAAAAAATTTGTTATACGCTGTATAAAATTATTAATATACAAAATCATTTTTATAATTACCTCAAAAGTAGTGGAAATACGAATGGGTTCTTCACAACAGGACATAAAAGGGCAATCGATACCATGCCTAAGACTGCAGCAGCAGGAGACATCCGCCGATAGCATTACGCCTGTAGTCAGTGGCTCCACACATCTCATTGTACAGCAAAGCCAAAACTGCCGAGCCCCAACTGAATGATCCGGCTAGACGAAATTCGCTAATATGTCGCAACCACATGCAGTGAACTAGGTTGCGCGATTTGTCCGACATCAGCAACCCTCCTATCAGCTGCAGTATGCATGCCCGTGTATACATCTTAACCTTATCCTCAGAGGCGTCTGCGCTCAACTCCCAAAAATTGACATCTAACCAATTTAACGGTATCCTACCTCCGATAAAAATTTTCCGGGACACGTCCTAGACTATCCCGACACAAACCAATCCAAGAACCGGAAGCTATCTCCGATATCACATCTCCATCCACCGGAAGCCCCAAGTGCATAGAAACATCCTCAAGCGTGATCGTGCACTCTCCGCACGGAAGATGGAATGTGTGGGTCACCGGCCTCCACCGCTCTACTAAGACAGAAATCAGGTCTGGCTTTATCTTACAGTGACCCTGATATCTACCTATGTAACCGAATCCAGCCTCTACTAAATACGGCAAGACACGACTGGTATCACTAACTTAAGATTCCTAATAAAAGGATCTAATACACGATCATTCTCCTAAAAATAAATAATTACAAAAATTAATTCTTAATCTAATAATCATGCATTAAATGAATCAACTAATTATTAATAATAATTTAAATTAAATTAAAATGTTAAAATGTTACCGTATCAGCAAAGTGTCGAGATATTTAATTATTAATATAATAATCATGCATTAAATAAATAACTAAATATTACTAATAATTTAAATTAAATTAAAACGTTAAAATGTTACCGTATCAGCAAAGTGTAGAGATATATGATTTCTATCCGAGCGAAGTAGACTACCTTCCATTATATATATGCAAAAGAATTATATTAGTAAAATATTAAATAAAGTATAAATATAATAGTAAAAAAATTACAAAATATATCTTAAAAAGAGAGTATTTGAGAGAAATTTAGAGAATTTGAGAGAATTTGGTGTGATAAAATTAATTGAGAATGGGAGTATTTATAGGGAGGAGGGGTCGGTAGTTAGGGGTATAGCGCGCCCCCTGCACCGCGCTATACCCCACGTGTCAGATATACAGGTATAGCGCGCTGCAGGGGCCGCGCTATACCCACGTGGCGTCAGCTCACCGTATAGCGCGGTGCAGGGGGCGCGCTTTACTGCTAAGGGTGTTAGATCGGGAAATATAATCTGACCGGTGTTAGATCGATAATATTACCGGTCACTGGTGATATATCGAGAAAATCACCAAGGCAAAACATATTTCTTTATGTAATTTTTTGGTAAACTACACTAATGGTCACTAAACTTTAGAATACTTTCATTTGCTCACCAAAATTAAAACAATTTCATTAGAATTATTGATGTTAAAAAAATTATTTTCGTTGACTTGACTGTTAAATCACTAACAAAAGCTAATGTGATACGCTCACATATTAACAATAGTTGAGCCGATAAGTATGTATGCTCACATCAATTAAAATATATTAATTTATTAAAAAATAATATATCAACATATTAACTTAGTCATCGACATACTTAGATAAAACTAAGAAAGAAAGTGGCTTTACAAGTGGTTTAGAGGCTAAATCAAGGATAGATTCTAGCAGTAATAATTTAGATGGGCCCTCTTCAAGGCAGCTGGAGGATAAGAAAAGGCGAGTTCGGGGGAAAGTTATTCCTGAGAAAGATAACAAAAACCTCAACCATGAATGATGATGAGGTGCTTAGTTTTTGGCTTTTAAGTTAGCTATTCTATCAACGTTGTTTATTTAAAGCTTCACCATTTATATATTTAGCTGTTCTAGATCCTTCAATCTAGGGAATCATTGATGTCTTGCTATTTGTTTAGGAAGTGGTTGCTTCTCCAAAGTCACTGAAGCCAAATAAACATGATTTTCATATGGAGGAGAATCCTAAGACAAGTCCCAAGAGAAAGCATACCCCAAACAAAGAAAAAGTAAGTGTCTCTAGGTGCAAGTGTGTTGAGATTGCATTTTTTCCACTTTTATGTGTCTTTATAAATACTTGTAGATGTTATTTTGGTGGTGATATGTTGTAGTTTTGGTTGGTTGCATTTTGAATAAAGTTGGCATTATAGATGGTCTTTATGACATACTTATGGGTTTAAACAAGAGATTCCCCATTGTCCATTCTAAGCATTTAATAGTTAACCTTTCTAAATTTTTCTTTTTCCTTTTCATCTATTCTCTATCTTTCATAGTACTTACATCATTCTATCTTTTAAGGACCTATTCTTTGTGTGTTACTAAAATGCTTTTCCCTTTCAAAATGATGCCTATCTAGCAACAATGCAGCTTATATACTTTCTTTGAGTTCATTAATCTTTCAAGAGGCTTTTGATTTTCAGGGTTTTTTCCCTTGGAACAGTAGTCCTACAATGTTGATTTTATTCCTTTCTAACAAGTATCAGACCAATGGTTTCGGTGCACTAGTATTGCACGGGTGTTGGTGCTCAGTTTTCTATCTCCCTTTGCTGTTTCTTGAGATCATAACTATTTGCCTTTTCTCTTGCTTTATGGAAAGATTTTGGAGGTTATAAGCTCAATTAACATTGTATGGAATGTTATAAACTTTTATTTGACTCTCCATACAAGCTGCAATCTGAACAAAATTGAAACAATGATATTTCATATACCTCTTATGCAGACACTTGATTTCTCTCTCTTTAACTTTATTCTTCTTCAGGCATCTGATTTTATGGAATTTGGTGATTATCTGATTGGTCTGAAGGTGAAGGTCTGGTGGCCCAAAGACCGTGCGTGAGTATAATATATCTGCATATCCTTGTTTTATTTTACAAGTTTTACAGAAGTGATACTCTGGAATGGAAACTATTTGTTTTCCTTTCTCTGATGTGTATTGGGTGCCCATTTCTAGTTTCCTTGCACGTCTGAGCATTTACCTTAAACTTGAACTATGGTTCAATTTCTTTCTCCCCTTACGGATGCTATTCTTTTGTAGGTTTTATGAAGGTGTTATTTATTCGTTTGATGCAGCTAAAAAGAAACACAAGGTGACATATAAAATAAGACTGAAGTTGCCTTTTGTGGGAGGTTCTCTCTTGTAACTATTCATTCAAAAATGTGTTGAATTTCTTTTATCATTTTCATTTGTCAATAGGTGCATTATGACGATGGTGATACTGAAATTTTAAATCTTAAGAGAGAAAAGTGGAAGATAATTGAAGGCGAGTCTGAACCAGATGAGGTAGGTAGTTCTCTAATTTATAGATAATTAGCTTTTACTTGTTTTGTGTTCTAGGTTGCTAATACTTCATTGGAACAGGAAGAAGCAGCTAACCATTCAAGTCCTGATGGTTCATCTGAAATGTAAGCGATTCCTTTCCTGATTCTTTAATGTTAGATTTGACTGCATCAGAATCTCTGTTCTAGATGGTGTCTGTCTGTACTTTGGCATTGCATGATTTAACTTTATGTTGATGCATCCTCCATTCTTTAGCAATGCGAATATTATATTTGGTATAGCTTTGCATTTTCTTGTTGGGGCTCTCTGGTCTGTTTCAGTCTTGATATTGTTGTCTAGGCTTACCTCCTTTTCACCTTGTTTTGATTTCCATGGACAGGCCTCAAAAGAAGAAAACAAAACAGCTGATCAACCAAGCAAAAATTAAGATGGATGCTTTGCCAAAACGGTTATTACATACTTTCAATGAAACCTTTTATATGATTCTTTCTATGATTTTTGAAATCCTTATTATTTTGGATGGCCAGGGGTGGAGGAACTTCGGCTGGAAAATTCAAGAGTGCTGCCACAAAGTCTGGTCGCAAGACAAAGGAAGACAGCAAAGTGGATAGCAAATCCAAAGATGTCCCTAAGAGTGTTAGTAAATCAGACAATGATAGTGTTACCAAATCCAAGGATCATACCACCAAAAGTAGCAGTAAATCAGTTGATGCCACTTCGAAAATAGGCAACAAATCCAATAATGAGGACAGTGGTGGGACGCCCAAGTCTACCAAATCCAAGCATGATGGAAGTGTTACCCCTAAAGCTTCCACAAAGTCAAAGCAAGACACTTCAAAGGCATCAAAGTCCAAGCAGGAAATCCCGAAGATTTCCTCCAAATCTAAGGGTAAGCCTCTTAAAAGAAGTGGCAAATCTAATACTAATGGTACCGGTAAGTTGAAATTCGGTTCATCCAAGGTTGAAGAAAGTGAGAGGATGGAAGAGAAGTCCACTGATTCTGCAAAGGTTGTGGAAAGTGTGAAGCGGAAATCACCGAGTTTGACCAAGGCATATGCAAGTGATGCCATTTCTGGAAAAAAGCGGCGATGATGAGCTGAAAATCACTTCAACTCCAATGTCATTGCCAAGGTCTGGTTATTGCCCGAAGCGGAATATAATGGTTGAATGCTAGTATTTTATTGCGGCCTTAGATGTCCTAGTGCCTGCATTCACAGCTAGCTAGCCATACATTGGGTAGTTGACCAAGTTGTTAGGAGTGTGGCCAACTAATACACTCACAGTTAAATGTAGTTTATAGTTGTTTGTGTGGTGGATTTTTTTTTTTGTTAACTGGGTAGAATGAATTCCTGTTGTTCAAGGTGCAGCAGCATTAGAATAAATTTGGGTTAGGCTTTGATTACATTTACAGAGTTGCTTCTGTAGATAATGTAATTGTGTTTCAGAAACTTGATAGAAGCCAAGGCTTAAGAAAAAAATAATAAGAGACAAAGTGATTATTCTACCAAATATTAAGGGTCAAAATACTTCAAAAATAAAATATATAACAAAATAATCATTTTGATAAACTTTGAAGGCTAATTTTAACATTATGCGAATTGAAATGGTACCTTAGAGTAAGACCCAAACATTAAAGAGATCCATTATAGGTAGCCACTGGGAATAGGCCTAAGAATGAAAACTGAGGCCTGCAGAAATTGGCCCTTGTATAATATTCAAGCTTCGATTGTTAGACAACTCCATATACCTAAATGAATCACGATTATAGTTAATATTTTCGTTTAAGTATAATCATAATTATTTATAATAACATATGTAAAAATAAACTAATAATTTTTATATATGTCTAGACTTAAAGGATAATAATTTTAAACCGAATTAATTTATAATTAAAATGAAACAAAAATAAATCTAAATTGAAAATTCATTTATACATAAACTCTTCCATAATTCATCTTGAAAAATCATCAACGTTTAACTTTAAAACGTTGGATTACCATTAAGAGTATTAAGAAAAAAAGCATACTTTAATCACTTTTCCCCCTAAATTAGGGAAAGTGCCAGGAATTAAACCATGACTTTTTACTACTATATTATAACTTAAAGAATTAGTTAATTAATCCGTAGGTGTCTTTCTCATGCATTATCAAACTGCCCTCTCTTTATACTTTAAGATTAAGACGTTCAATGAGATTATCGCATATCAATTGTATATCTATATATATATATATATATATATATATAGTCGTTTTCGAAGAAGAATGCGCAAGCAATGACCTCATGTTGGGTATGACAACACTTTAAATTTCTAAGCAGCAGTTGAAGTCATTTAATAGGGGAAGTCTTCAATGCGGCAGTATAATATACTCTTAAAAGAAAAAATGATATCGGAATTATTATTAATTTTTAATATTTTTTTATAAAAATTTATTTAAAATATTATTATTTTTATCAAAAATATTATTATTGGATGTTTTATCGAGTTTGTTAATATATTCAGTAAAGTATAACTTAAAATATTATTTTTATATCGAAAATATTAATATTAGACACTTTACTAGAAATATTAAAAAATATTAATATTTTAAGTAAAAAAATAATATTTTGTGTAATTTTTTTTTCAAACAACAACAACAACAACAAAACCCAATTCCCATATGTATGGGGTAAGGGGGAGGTAGGGTAGTAGGCTACCCCCAACGCCAGGTTGAAGTAGCTTCCGTGGAAGACCTCCGGCAGTCAGAAAATTAAAAATTTAGATAAAATGCAATGCATGTATAAATAAATACATAAATACATAGCTAAACAGTATTCATATGCAGTCATTAAAATCATATGTGTGTCTGTAACGGGAATTAATCCCTGCATAATAATCCTTGCGAAAGAATCTCTGCATATAGACAGAAACATAAGATCCGGCTAAATTTAAAAGAGGAAACATGAAGAGAATGATACACAGAAGTCAACGTTAGCAAGCCCAGTTCTAATCCTTCATAAATACCAATAACAGAAACGTATAAAAAGTATAAGTCATGGAAAATACTACAAAGACATTAAAAGAAGACAGAGATGATACACCCTATAGATGTGACCCACACTACTCGACTACCCTAGTCTTTAGCCTCCATATTTTCCTATCAGAGGTCATGTCTTCGGTAAGGACTAAATCCCTCAAATCAGATCTCAAGCAGTCTTCTCACTTTCGCTTTGGTCGTCCTTTCCTTCTGGCACCGTCGACTGTAATCGACTCTACCCTCCTGACCGCATCCGACGGTAGTAGATTTTCCCACATTTAATAGTTGCCTTGGAACTATGATTCTTGAACCCAAAAAAGCATTTCAATAAATGATTGTCCTTTTTTCTCATATATATATATATATAAGATAAGGGGAGGTAAGATAGTAGATTACCTCCAACATCAGGTTGAGAGTAGTTTCCGTAAGAGACCTCCGAATTATGAAATGCCCTCCGTAAGATTCGATCTCACGACCTCAAAGTTAAGAACCTTGTGCTCTACCAACTGAGCTGGATGGTGATTTCCATTTCCAACCTATACTAACAAACGGTAACTTCCCTTCAGTGGCAGAAACATAGAGAGAGAGGGGGGGAAAGAGAAAGATAGGACAATAACAGGGTTTAATACACGCAACTTTACTATTTTGTAGGACTAAACATCACATCTTCGGCCGCATTTCCAGCTGCCCAATTAACCAACCTGTTCACATTCTGTTCTCTGTCCCATGTATATACACTACTATTAACCGACATATTTCGTTTATGCTTTTTTTTATTAAAATATTTAACCGAAACTTGGATTTTCCAATAGAAATTAATCTCAAAACATAGTTAAATTCAAACCCTGTGGTTTGGTGATTTGGAATTAAGCTTCGAGTCTGCCATCTGGGGTCAATTTATTGAGACAAAAGACCAAGAAATTAGGGTAAAAGTGAAAGCTTTTTCAATTTTATTTTTTTAATCCTCAGATGACATTTTTGTCAAATGAAACTCCGTCAGCACGTGCAATCGATATTTTACTTTGGGTTGCAATATTACGTAGTTAAGACGAAAGGAAATTAAAAACGAAAGTGGAAGGTGGAGGAGATAAAATTAAAGTCAAGAAGAGCTTGAGTTCAAAAAAGCAATCATCTGATTGGGTCTTGACTTTCCAATTTCAATGTTTTCGTACCGACTCGCATGAGCTGACAGCCGACAGCAGACTCGAGCTATGTTTGCAACCTTTTAACTCTCATCTTCCACGGACTTTCCTTTGAAACATCTCTTGGATCTCTCTCTTACTCTCTATATATTATTATTTCCCTATTCCTGGGTTTTATTAATCTCTCCTCTTTGCTTTTACCTCTTCTATACGACTAATTTCCAGTAATGGACTCATCTTGGGTGGATACTACTTTGGATCTTAACATCAATCCTTGCCAATCTCGCAACAATAAAGCTATGGTGAGTCTGGTTTTTCTTCAACATAGATTCTTGTGCTGAACTTGGACTTTCAAAAAGTTGAAACCTTTTTTTAACCAGAAACGAGAATTCGATGGAGATGTGGCTGACTCTGGTGTGTTGGTTCCGGTTAAAGATGAGGTCAGTTACTAGGCAAGTTAATTGTATTCGACAAATAGAACAAGTATATAATCACTGAGTTGGGGTCACGTATGTGATTTTTTTTAACAGGGTGGAGTTTTGGTGGAGGAATTGAATCGGGTCAGCGCCGAGAACAAGAGGCTAACCGAGATGCTAACAGTTTTATGCGAACAGTACTACGCTTTGCAGCACCAATTCAATGAACTAATGTGCAAGAGCTCTGAAAACGAAGCTACAACGATACCATCGAAGAAGAGAAAAGCCGAGTGCGTGGATTATACAAACAACATGTTTGGATTCAGTGGACACACCGAGAGCGGCTCTAGTGATGAAGAGTCGAGCAAAAAGCCTAAGGACTGTCTTAAACCCAAGATATCAAGGGTTCACGTCCGCACAGATCCCTCAGATACCATCCTGGTAGGTTCCCGCTGTTGAATTTTTCTTCTCAGATTGAATCTACCAGTATCTGCTAATTATATATTAATTGATGAATCTTACAGATTGTGAGCGATGGATATCAATGGAGAAAATATGGTCAAAAGGTCACAAGAGATAACCCCTGTCCCAGAGCATATTTCAGGTGCTCCTTTGCCCCAAGTTGTCCGGTTAAGAAAAAGGTGAGTCTTGATTCTGACTGTATTGGCCTATTGGGTATGAGGCTTGGATTAGATCATATTCGAATTCAGGTTGATGGTTTTTAGTTCGGGTCAGGTCTAGAAACATTATTTGTTTCTGATTTTGATTGATCGGTTTTCAGGTGCAAAGAAGTGCTGAAGATCCATCATTATTAGTGGCTACATATGAAGGAGAGCACAACCACGACCATGCACACAATAATGTTCCGGCAGAACAACGATCATTAAGCCCCAGCAACAGGGATTCAGCTCCAGTTTCATCTGCCCAAACCAAAGCTTCAGCTCCTAGGGTAACTCTTGATTTGATGCAACCAGCTGGACTGGGGGATGATAACCAAAAGCCAGCTCAACAAATTGATGCACCAGCTATCCAGCAACTTTTAGTTAATCAAATGGCAGCTTCTTTGACTAGAGACCCTAATTTCACAGCAGCTCTTGCTGCAGCCATTTCAGTAAGAGTTGTAAACCAGAATACGATAGGAAAGTGGTGAAAATTCATAGCATTTTGTATGTTCTTGGCTCAGTTGAAAATGGGAGGAGTATTCTTTTCCAGTCCAGATGTTATCTGAGCTTCGCTTCTCCAATTGCACAGAAATCATAAGCTGCTCAATGAACAAATCAACATACAAAGACTAAAATGTCATTTTTGAAGTATGGGGACTGAAATGAACTTTTACATATAGTATAGGAACTTGTTCCACACTTTAAACCAATTTCTTTATATTAAAACTTTGCTAGCTGCCAGCTGATAATTTCTTGTCTATATATACTTATTTTTACCCGATAGGGCAAAAATAGAGACTCCCATAAGGCCATGGGGCATGCTTTAAAAGACATTAGTACATTACCCCTCATATAAGGAAGAAAAATTAGACCTATTCAGGTCGGGTTTGTCGGTTCAAGATATTGAGGAGAAAATTATATCCCTTTAAAATATATATCAGATTTAAATTTTATCTTATTCTTGAACTTATTAAGTAATTTAAAAGATAAAAATCAAATTCTGAACATATATTTTCTTATAATCACTTCAAATTATTCAAGAAAAATTATCCTATTCATTTAAGATTATATGTTATTTTAATATATATATTACCTAGTCTATATCATATAGAAATTAAATGCATCTTATCTTAATTTATTAATTTTATTTTGAGTTCTCAATTACATTATAAATACAGTAGAATATACTCTGATTAAATAAATATTTTATCAAAAAAGTAAATGAGGTTGGAGATGATAATGAAAGCGATAAGCATTAATGAGATATCATTCAACGAAATGTTAGATCTCTAGTTGTAGTTTAGACCTAATAGATAAGTAATAACTGGTAAATACATTTACTTTTTCAGGACCAAAAATCGTGTGTGAAAATGGTAAACGTACAGTTGATGGTGCCAAAAAGAAAAAGGATATTTTTCAACTCATCAGGTATTAAAAAATAATGGTGCTACACGCCTTTTGATTTCAAGCAAAGTGCAGGTTTTTGATTTGAGAAAGGAAAACAAACTACATTTATGATGTACAACTTGCCTTTTGCTTTTGTCTCTCATTCATTGATATGTTTTCTAGATGATGTTACCGGTTGACCTGCAAGGTATTACGACTGTAGAATTATAAATGAGAGGTAATCGGTCATCACTCGTTTTCTTTTAAATTTCTCGGAAAATCTGAAAAGGAAAAGAGAAAATTAACAAAGATTGGAAAGTTCGAAGTCCACGAATTTGTCTACATATGTCCACTAACACGTTGGACCTCATTACCAGCAAAGTTGGTGCCAAAAAAAAAGTGATGCATTCAAATAATTAAGACCTAAGTGCTTACTTTCAGTCGCATGATGTCATACCCATTACGTTATCAATTCCCATTGCTACCACATAAACTTTATTAAATACCTATGGCTATGATCATTGTCATGGCAACATACCAAGGACAGCACACCATGATTTTATTATTCTACAGCAGTCAATCATTGTCTTCTTCGGCAACTAGCTTTCCTTATCCAGTTCTGGATAACCCTTTTCGACCGCCCATTACTCGGAATTACCTTGGGAATGTTATGAAAGATTACGACACAAGCAGCAGCGTGGACGACCACAAGATAATCAAAGACTATGTTGCATCATTGACAAAAGATTCCAACTTCCCTATGCCTTAGCCGCCGCAGTTTCCCGCAACTGCTGGACACCAGCAATCTCATGAACTTGAAAAGATTCCAACTTCCCTGACTCTGGCCTGCTGAAATGAATCGAGAAAGCCTCATTTCAAGTTGTGAAGTTCAATTTTTTACTGCTAACATGTGATTTAATAGTCAGTGGCACAACCTGACCGACCGGTAAGGTACTCTCAACCACCCTAAAGCAGTATCGCGCCAGCTGGTCAGTCCGGTCCATGACAGTCGAGAGATTATATACCAAGTTATATTTATCACCATTAAAACTAGGATACTATCCAAAATGAGTTGGCTTTTCGTGGTTGGTAGCTCCATATCTGCACTTGAGACCCACCTTCGTACAAGAGAAGATGCTATTATCTTATATCGATGATAATCTACACCCATTCTTAAAAAAAAATATTCACTTACATTCCTTTTAACTAAAATTTTACACAATGTTTATATATACTGAAAAGGAGAACAAAGTAAAACTATTATATAAAGTTGTGTTCCTATATTTTACAACAAAGCTTTTGGGCACCGCACAAGTAGCTCGAGAGGACCTAATATGAACTTCATCCATCGGCTCTGCTCCAATATCAGAAAACATGTTAAAGAATTAATGCAGTTAAATAGATTACAATTTGAAAAGGTTTTCGGACTCACCATTCACCACCTGCATGTATTTTAATTTACAACTCATTCTTGCGGTCTCATCTTAGACTACCGTCTTTTACAAGGATTTTCCCTCCACTGAGCAAAACATAACATGTTTTTACATGTTAGAATCAGAATGTCAGGTTAATTGGTAGAATCCATCATTGAATAGCGGCGCTCTTGATTGGACCTTGTATCAAGTGTTGAGAGCTTCAGACTCTTCATGGAAGTACTAGTTTTTGGCTTCTCATTTTCTGCCTCCTTTGCTTTCTTCTATCCAATTCAAGTTGCTTGCAGTTTTCCTCATGCTTTGACAAACATCCTCGAAAAGCTGAGCAAAGTAGCCATGACTATAGAAAAGTTGCAGACAAAAGACAGTGATAAATCTGAATAAAATACACTCGAGACATAAAACTGCTCTACAGCTGAGATTCATACGGGTGCATGTTGGCTAATAGTTTTTAGAAAGCACAAATTACTTAAGATGGGAACATATTAGCACAAATGCTAGCTATGATATCTAAAAACTCAACTACTGTAGGCATCCAAAGTGACTTAAAACAGTAGCATACTGATGCGAAAACAACACTTGGTTATAGATCAAGAGGGGGGCACACCATCATTTAGGACAGCATCACTCAAAGTATTGCTTTTGAGGATAAGTAGAAGTACTACTACAATAAAAAAACCATTATATTTCGGTTACAAAAAGTAACGAAGTGAAAATGAACACTTGATAAACTTTTGGGTCCTAAAATGATGCAGGGTTAAGCATTAATTAGACTTGTTAAAACTAAACCACGACCTTGCTCAAATGGGCAACGTGCAGGATCTTCTCCAAATAATGAGCCAATGATCTGCATTTTACCTGAAGGCATCAATTTAGAAATGCTTATGAATTTGTTTTCTTCTGGCACATCGAATATGTAAGAATAAAACCTCCTTAACGTAATACATACCACATAAGTATGAAGCGCAGTCAAAGACTTCACTTCCCTTCAGCAAAACTAAGGAACTCCCTTACAGTCTGAAGATATATAAATAAAAGCATTTACTGTTAGAGAAATAGAAGAAAAAGAAAAATGAGAATTAGAGAGAGCACAAGTTATTTGAAAGTGAGTACTGATCCAAACGAAATATTATTCATAAGACAAGTGATACAGTTGTATAGTAGCTCAATGGTCTGGTACTCTGATTAGCACTTGAACATTTGAAGGCTGAAGAATGCTGTCACAGCGAATGAATATTTGGCAAAAAATAGTTTGGAAGGCTGTTCAAAGCAGTTCATTTTTATATCAAAACCCAATGATGAATGATAAAGACTATTGGATGAGATTAATCTCAAGATTTTGACCAAAGTCTCAGATCACAACAGCTCTAATCAAGTTTCTTTAAACCAATGTTGACTTAAACATCCCATTTAGCTTCTGCAAAGGCCAACACTGACCTACTAATTACTAAAGATCCTGATTGAAAACTTAATGCACCATCTTGTTCCTCTAAAGATTATGCAATGTTGTTATTTTAGTTAAGGGAAGGGAAGGGGGGAGACTAGGAAAGCCAAGGTTGTGGTGTCCCTAACAGGCACTGCATTAAATATAAGAAGAAAATCCAAGCAACATGTGAATGTGCAGAGCATATGCAAATAGCTATTTAATATATAGAATACCTTGCAAAATGTTTCAGAGACGGGACCATCCTTTTCTGAGGCAGCTAGTTCTTGGACAACCTTCTCCAACCCTTTGCTAATGGCTTGTGTCTCGTCTGCCAAATATTTCAATTGTACCTGCATGGTAATCAATAATTTTGCTTAACATATGGAAAAGGTTAAGAAATTTAAGTATGACCTGAAAAGGCATAAAAATCTTACCTTTGTTGCAGCTTCCAAAGTCACAAGGTCTTTTGGAAAATCTATTAATTCTGGCAACTTTTGGCTCAGGACCTAAAAATTAGAGGCCATAAAGAGTAAAGTATAAATTGACGTTCTCACAAAGAATAAGATACAGTTTGCAATGGCAATAAGTTATGATGCAAAAGTAAAACCCAACATACCATGTATTTTCTGCAAGAATTTCATGATATTAGTAACCTTTAAATTTTAAATTAGTCTTCACAAAATGCAAAAGGATGCAGTGAATGTCTGCACACATTCAAGCATTTTACTTGGTATACAGTAAGACAGAGGCATTCCATCTTGAAACATAAATGTAGAAGTACAAGAATATTCAAGTTATTCAAACAAATTTAACAGGAAAGATCACAATCAAGGAAATTAAGGTAGATGATCTTCTACCTTACAAAGATAATGCATGAGATCTTTTTATTCCGAGCTCGTGTATCTGTGAGTTTAAGGAGACTATCCAACCGAAAACCAACGGCAGAACCTGTGGGGTTGAACCATAATTACTGAAACGTTTGGAGTAAATTGATGCTTCTTGAAAAATTGTACAGATATGACATCTCGGACTTGATTTCTATTCTTAGCAGTTAAGATAAAAATACAGGATTACAGGACTGTGTTAAATATTTAAGAGACTCAATTAACAATAAGGAAACAGCGAAAATACATAACTCATTCAAGAAGAATAACAGAAAGCAAATCAGCAGTGAAAAGACTGACCTGTTTCCCATTAAAAAATTATCTAAACAGAATGAGATACAAAAAGATGACTACAATAAGATAGTTCTTCATCTATTAATAAAATATACCTCCTCAGTTAAATCACTCACCCTAGCAGTTCCTTG